GGTGAAATGCTGAGAGGGCTACAACCAGAACTGGTTTTGGTTCCACATTATCCAGATTCTTAGTGTTTTATCTAGAAAAATCACAGAATTGTTTTGGACCCTAGATTTAGTTCTTCATAAAGAAGAAAGTTGAATCCTGGAATTCATGGATTACTAAAATGGAGATTATTAAGGACTCTATACTTAACAACTTTATATATATAGCATTTTTAGTTTAATATAATGCCTGTAATGAGCAGCTCTATATGTTCCATTTTCTTTAAGTATTTTCATCCAAGAATCCACTCTTGTTAGAGACATTGAAAACACCCCAGAATATTATCTGCTTGTTCCCCAGGTAGGAGAGAGAAAAAAAAGCTTCATCACCTCCTTATGTTAACAAAACCAAATAGTGTTAAAATCAATTCTCCAGTCCTCATCACAGAAACAATTCCTTTAATTAGGCTTTGCCACGTCACAGCTTCTGTTTGTTAGTCCATTATTTCTAGCCTAAGTTTCAGAGAAGAGACTAATCCATTAGGTCTTTTAATGAGTTTCTAGAATTATCTGAGACAGATATAACTCTCTGAGGTTAAATAACTAAAATAGTGATTGACCTTCATCTTCTCAAATTCAGGTATAATTAATTCCTCAGAAGCTTACACCTAAGTTGCCCTATGGAGATTCATATATTTCTGCCCTTGGTCTAGACTTTATCTATTTTGCATTTATTGACTATGAATGTTGCCCACTTAGGGAACACCATCACCCAAAGTGAGGTTGATTAGTATATGCTTACATTGCAGACTTTCCAAAAAATTGATTGGAATAAATTCAAGGTTATAGACAGGAAGGAAATTACCTTTGCTATCTATATAGTTGATCATATAGTATGTTTTTCATTAACTTTTTCAGTGCATAATTTAATTGAAACACTCTACCAGTTTTGTTTATATTTTATCTAGTTATAATTTTCAGGTTTTTTCTGGTTCTTTTTAAGTAATTTGATTATAGCCCTGTATACTAAAAAGTAGACATAAATTATAGAAGTATTTTTACCAAAAATACGATGATTAGTTTTCCATAATCACAAATATAGAATTAAAATAAATGGACATTAAATAGAAACTGTTAAAGGAAAAAGTGTTGAATTTTTTGTATTATGATTTTAAAATGAAAAATAAATATATTGTACAGAAAATTTACAAATGACAAAAATGAAAATATCCAAGTTCATCTGAATATTTGCACCACCATTAAACTAAGATTATCAGTTTAAATTACTTTCCTCAGTCATTTGTCACTTGTATTTAAGTGGCAATAAGACTTTTTTATTCCTAATCTAAAAATTTGATATTCTTGAATTATATATTTTCATAATACTTTCAATTTCTATACTATGTCCCAATAGATGATGGTATCATAATTACTTATTTCCCCATAGTTAATTATGTATATTATTTTTTTACTATTACAACACAAAAATCAAGTTTTTGTATACTGATAATTTTCATTATCTTCTTAGTGTTCAGAGTTTTACTACAGGATGTGAAGATATAAACATTTTTATAACACTTGGTATACATTGTCAAATTGCTTCAGAGAACAAGCTGTAGGCCAAAATAATATAAGGAAAAGATCACTCTAATGGTCAGTGCTACTATATTTTTCATCAGACAAAAGCTAATATTAACAATATCATTGTTATTTTAATTAACAGATTAAAGTGTCTAATTGTTTTGATCAGTTCCTTCATTAGATTTTCCTTTATACAATATTTTACTAGTTACTAGTACTTACTTATCTCTTCTATTGATTGAGAGCTTAATGTTTTTCTTATTAATATTGATGAAAGAATGTCCAGCATAGAGAAAAGCTTTATAAGAGTTTATTTGAGCCAAAATTTTGTGGACATGCCCAGAAACAAAATATCAATGGATGGAAAAAATGCTCTAAAGAATGGCATTTCTAAAGCTTATACATTAGAATCAAAGAGGATTACATGAAATTCATTGTCTGTAGATTAAAGGGGCAGGAGAAAGCAAAGTAGGAAAATCTCTAAGACTGGATAAAGAGCAAAATGGAGAAACATACTTTTACATCGGTGGGGATAGAATAGTTAATACTTATAATCCATGGAGATAGAATGTGGGCAATTAAGATGACAATGAGGTTCTGTGGTCTTGTGCTCTGGTGCCTGGGGTTGTGCCTTCAAAGAGTCTGGAAAAGAAAACTACATTGACATTTTAAAGATTTGTTATCCTAGAAGTACAAAGACAATAGACAGTGCTCACTTAAGGTAAAGATTGACCTTTATCAAGGAAGCTACAACCTTATGTTGTGACTACCCGCTTAGTTACCAATTTTTATGTTCAGACCATCCAGTGTTGTAACTTATTTTTTAAAGCTGTTGATAACATAGCATGGCAGCAAGCATTACTACTTTCAATCACTGAGTTTGTAAGGCCTGCTCTTGGGGTTCCCAGTGAGCTTCTCCCCTTTTTTGCTCACATCAATATTATAAATATTTTACGTAATAAAATATTGTCTTCTGTTTGTCATATTTATAGTAATTAGGTTTGAATGTGGTTTGCCAATTTATTTTGTAGGGGAAATTAAGGGAATTAAAGTCAAATGTATCTACATTTTTTTAAAAACTTATATATTTCTTGGCAGACTTTATCTCTAAATTATGTTTTAAATGATGAGTTCCTTCCATGGATAACTTATTTTTTTTTGGGTGGGGGGAAATAGTCATCCCCATTTTTCTTGGCAGACCTTATCTCTAAATTATGTTGTTGTCCCCCCCCCCCCCCCAAAATTGACAATCCCCTGGCCTCCCTTACCCCCCAGTGTCTTATGTCCATTGGCTATGCTTATATGCATTCATACAAGTCCTTCGGTTTCTAAATTATGTTTTAAATGATGAGTTCCTTCCATGGATAGATTTTTCTCTTAATATTTGAATTTCTATCTGCATTAGGGTTCACCAGAGAAACAAAAAGCTTGATTTTTAAGGATTTGGCTCATGACGTTATGGGATCTCCCCTCTATACCAGGAAGAGGTTGACCAAATCTCTAGAGACTCTTATCAATGGAGAAAGCATCAACTTAAATCTGCATAGCAACCATACTTTCATTAACTATGCTTTGCCTGATAGACTCCCATAACTGGCTCCCCTCCCCTCACATTTTATTTTGTCTTTAGCTGAAGATAGTATTTAAGGTGGTGGCTTGGGCCATGTGGGTAAGTTACTCAAGTATACAGGAGGCATACATGTTATTAAACTTCTGTTAATCTGCCTTTTATTACAGGCAAGGGGTGGGGAAGGGTCTCAGCTAAGAACCAAGAAAGACAGAAGAAAAAAATGGTGTGTTTTTTCTCTCTCTCCTACAGTTTGGCAACTTGTGATGAGACTTGTAGAGACAACCTACTCACTTCAGAGCCTGCACATGGGATCCTGGCAAACTGGCAGAAGCCAACAAAGGGTAAGAATTCTTCCAAAGTCAGCTCTCTCAGCTTTCACTCTGCAGTGCCCTGTTGAGGGGGGGGAGGGCAAAAATTAATCTTCACCTTTCCTTTCCAAATTTAGAGATTTTCAGAAGAAAATATTTGTGTAAACTAGTTCTGTGAGTATAGCTGCTCTGGTCAAGATTTATTATAAGGTCCCTTGTTTTCTATTTGACATAAGAAACATACAAACCTGTGGAGAATTTTTATAAGAGGTTATTTGAACAAAACTGTCAACATATGCCAAGAAGCAAGATCTTAGATGCTCCAAACAATAACATTTTTTTTTGCAGCAGCAGCAGCAGCTTTTATGCATTTGAAACTAAGGAGTGAGGTAAGGAACATTATGAAGAAGCAGGGGGAAAAGCAAGGTGGCGATTGAATGAAACACAATTGTATGCTTTCTTGAGGGTGATTCCTTTTTACAGCTTATTTCAAAGCCTGCTAACCTAGATGCACCGACATAATGGACAGGGCTTGCTTATAGAAAAGACAAACCTTTTACTGAAAAGTTTTATGCCTGGGGCATGACTAGCCATCATGCCCTGCCCAGTTAGGAAGTTATAATGAAATCACACTGTGATATTACTTTCCATAGAACCCCTGCCGCCCACCCCCCTTTTTTTTTACCCCCATAGATTGTTTTCTTTTCTCTGTCTTTATGTCATTTATTCCAAGGAGGAGAACCATAGGCTAGATGACACTTTTTTGTCCTGTTTTATAGCTTTGAGAGCTTGGCTTTGTGACCAGTGAGAATACTTTCTCTGGTCCCTGCCATCCAGATGCATTCATCGGGTGGACATCTGAACAGGCTGGGGGACTTGGAAGCAGCATTTTCCTTGTCTCACTATGTCAGCTCAACCTTCATTGTCTTGTTAATGCTGGAAACGTTCCTTTCAGTAACACCTCTCTGGCATCACAGATGAGTGGGTCTGTGACTTGAGAGCCGTTTCATGTTCTCATAGAGAACCAGAGACGCCGTTTTCACTGCAATATTCTTCCTGCCCTGGACAAGAAGGTCTTTTACTTGTTAGGCTAACTCTGGAAGTGAACTTTGTGGATCTTAGGAGGGCTGCATCTTTGCATTCTCTTTTGAGATGCCTCTTGTATCCATGGCTAAGACATTAAAAGGCTTAGTGTTTTGAGTCACTCTTGAGGTTAATATAAAATCCTATTTGTCAATGGCCAGATGAGGATCCTTTGAATTGGAAACACTTCTATATTTTGAAGAAAAAAAAATTAGAGAGCTCTCATCCTAAACAACTGTCTTATTGGTACCTATGATAAGACTAAATTGAAAATAGGACACCAAAAGAGTATAGCCACCAGTCTTAGGGATTCCCTTAACAGGATACAATTAGAAAGATCTTTTTCTTGTCTCCACTTAGTGAAGATCCTACCAATTTCAGAGAAGAGTTAGATGATCAGCGGTCATTAACAACTACCTTAAAGGCACCTTGATAGCCTGCTATCAGGAGGATTCTTCCTACTCATGATTACCTCTTGGTTACCAGACAAGCCAGATGGCCCCCTGGGGAAAACCCCTAGCAGAGGAAACGGATGACCAGAGTTTCTCCCAGGCCCACCTACAAGTGATCAAGAAACGGGCCATCTAGAGTCCTATCTTTAGGGCTGATAGCAGCAAAAGTAGAGGCTATTACTCCCTGTGGTGAATTCGTCTTAGTTGAATTGCACACTCAGAAAAAGGAGAGAACTTAAAGTCCTTTGTTGATGCTTAATACAGACTTTACAAAGCCATACTGTAGTAGACCCTGAAGCTCTAGGACATAGAAATTTGTTTATTTCTTTTTAGGTGGAAGTCTTCTCCCTGAGATAATGTAGTTGGATGGGCAAGTCTGTTTCTTGATACCATTCAGGTTGCAATCCAATTATTTGAGGAATTACAAATCTTCAAGTTAGAAGCATGGCTATAAGCAAATCAAAGCCCATTTATCCTCTTACCAATTCCAAACCCTCCCTATTCCTCTTAGTGCTTGTAGATATTATAAAGGATCAGAACATTGGAAGCAGAATTGTGCTGCACTTAAGAAAAAGGAAAGAAATTCAAAATTTACTCTAGATCTCTAATAATAAGCAAATATAACCCATAAGTTCCTAGGATTATACATGGCTAAAATTTTACATTAATATCTATAAGATCTCTGCATCAGCTGTGTGTGTGTCTGTATATGTGTATTTTATATATATGCACTATGTTTCTGCCTCTGTATGTTATTGCCAAAATTAATTTGTAAAATATGCTATTTAGTTGTCTTAAAAAGAAGGGCTTATCAAATTAAGTATTTCCAAACTCAGAAATATAAAAACTCAACTGTTTTTCAAGTTCACGTGATCTAATCTAATCTTTGGTAATTAAAGCTTGTTTAAGTTTGCTGGTTTAACTCAAGTGGACATACCTGCAGCTTTGTTAGCATTAAATATAACACAGACATGCATCTTTTATTCTATCTGGGTTTTCTAGTCAAGTAAGTTCATGTTATGTCTTTTACAAAATTTATCAGCCAAGAAAAATAGCTTGAAATGATGGCTGACTTTGTCTCAAAGTTTTTGTGAGTAGTGTAAACATAATTGTTGAGCAAGTGATTTAGATAAATATAAGTGGAATAAGAGTAAACTTTTCAGCAATGATTGTTTTATGGTATGTCCACTTAAAAGTTATTTTCCAAATTTCTTTGGAAACTTGAAAGTTTAGTTTTGCAAAGATAAGTTAAATGAAGAAAATTCATTGGCTATCTAGATGATTTTCAAATCAGATAAAATACTGAAAATTAATTACTGAAGATTGATCTTTTGGCTTTTTATTAGAAAGGAACTAAAGAGACATGGGTCTGTTTGTAAATATGTCCTGTGCCACACTGAAAGATTGAACTGAGAAGCATGTGTCTATAAAATATACCAGCATTCTTTCTATTGGCAAATTTACTAATATAACAGCCACAATTACTTATTTCTTAGTTTTCACTAAAAATTAAATATTGCAATTAAGACTACTAGAAATAATATGAGAAAACTCTTTTGGAGTAAGAAAATATGGAAATGCATTTTTAAAGGGAAATAAACTGGTTAATTCAGAATGGGAAAAGGACAAACTAAGTGGATACAGAAAAAGTTGGAGAGGAAACCTTACCTTTTGTGACTCAGTTGGCTGAAATTGAATGAATTATTATAAGCATTTAAAAAATAAGCTTTAATAGCTATATTGTACTTACGTAAAACAGAAATAAAATATTTCACATGATAAAAGGACAAAGTTTTATGGGACTATTGTTTGGCTCTTTATAAGATTATAAAAGGGTTTTTCTTTATCTTTTAAATAATGTACCTAGAAAGCAAAGATTTTCTGTTTTATCAAAATAATCCCCTTGTACTCATGTAAAACAGAAATAAATATTTCACATGATAAAAGGACAAAGTTTTATGGGACTATTGTTTTGGCTCTTTATAAGATTATAAAAGGGTTTTTCTTTATCTTTTAAATAATCTACCTAGAAAGCAAAGATTTTCTGCTTTATCAAAATAATCTCCTCTGCTTCATGTTGCCTTTAATATCAGGGCTTTGGTTACTTGGGGAAATTCAGTCTTAATATCTAAATTTTGCTCACAACTATGTAACCTTTTGTAAAATCCTTTATTTTCACTTTGGTTAAATGGATAATGAAGTATTATTTCACAGTGATCTGTGATGCTTTTTAGTAAGTGTCCAAAACTTGATATTTTTAACAAATTTCCCCAAATCAAATTCTAAATGAAGTCTTCTTCTTGACCTTGACCTTAGGATTTTACAGAAAGCCCATAGAACATCTCCTTATAAAAAGAGAAACCTTACACTAAGTAGGCTTATGTGACATATGTTAAATTATATGAAAAGCAGTCACTAAGAAGTAATTCTAAGTCTTTTTAATATTATACTGATATAAGGTATTCATCACAATTCTAATAACTTGAAATGTTGTACGTCACCAAAATAACCAAATTTCTTAGGCCATTGAATTGTAAGAACTAAAATCAGATCTTTACTCAGATTAGGCTTATGTGACATATGTTAAATTATATGAAAAGAAGTCACTAAGAAGTAATTCTAAGTCTTTTTAATATTGTATTTGATAGGTATATGAGTGTTCAAAAATTGTATGAAATACTGATATAAGGTATTCATCACAATTCTAATAACTTGAAATGTACGTCACAAAAATAACCAAATTTCTTAGACCATTGAATTGTAAGAACTAAAATCAGATCTTTACTCATGACAAGTCTTTTTGTCATTTATAGACAGTTATATTTCATTTTCAGAGATTCATGGAAAGGATTCTGACAAACAGTGTAGTACGGGTTTCTGATAACTTTAAGATCATAAAATTCACTAAGAATTTACAAAATTCTAGTAGAAAAAAACAGAATTAGTAAAATTGCTAACAAAAGATCCTAAGTTTATATGAAGAATCAATTCTTCATGTAAACAGGACACAATTGGAAGCATTGGTTATCATTCATTCAATTTCAGCCAAGCCATTACCAAGCCTTTGGCTGGTATGTTATATTTGAGAATTATGTGCATAGACTCAGATATGAATGACTAGACAGCTTTAAGGAACTAAGGTTGACTTTATGGCGCCAAGAAAGCCCCTTGGAAAAACAGCCTGGTACCTTGCTTACATGGATTCCAGCAACCCTACCAGGTGAGTAAAGAATATCACTTCCTGCCATTCCCAGGAACCTTAAGATATTTTGGGACCTTGAGAAGAGATGAATTAATCCAAATTGATAGGCATTGCAAGCAAAGGCGAATGGTAAGTACTTGGCTTGAAAATCTTTTGAGTCCAATCTGAGATTCCTTATGAAAAGTACCAGTAAAGCAGATTTAAAGAACCTTTATGGTCAATAGTTATTCTTGCTGCAATTATATAAATAATATTTAAGCTAAATTTATTGAAACCAGACTCACCTTGCAAACGAATCCATTTCTACCAGAGATATACAACACTAAAATGAAAGTGATTGTGGAGAGAAAAGTTATGCTTGTACTTTTTTAGATTAGATTCTAGTGCTGTTCAGTGTCTATGTGGTTTTAAATTCTGCCTATAAACAGGACTGGATCCTAAATTCTTCCAGTTCCCTCATGTATCTGGCTGTGAATTTCCAAACCAACATATCTAATTTTCTCCCAAACTTTTGACTTTCAATCACTAAGAAAAAAAAGTTTCCCAGAAGCCCTGCAAACTGATGGGAACAACTTGATGTAAACCTCAGCGATAGCTCACATTCGGACAACCTTTCTGCCTATTATGTGACTACTCAGTTCCCAAGGACATCAATTAGACATTCAAACTGCAAAAATGCTTTGAGCTCAACATCTAGAATGGCTGTCCTCAGGACCCAGACTAGGGTTACAGTCTACTCCAACATTAACCTTAGTTTTTATTAAGAGTAAGAAGCATTTCTATCTAAAGTACCTGATTACTTATACCACATTAGCTAAATTTAAAAGACCACCTCCTGAAATGAGACACACACTGTTTAACTAGACCGACCTATTCTCAGGTTCAGTGAGACACAAAGAAAGCACACTAACACAAGCAACACAATTTAAAATAAACATGTGGGAAGACATCAAACTAAAAAGTTTCTGTACAGCAAAGGAAACCATCAACAAAGCGAAAAGGCGAACTACTAAGAGAAGATATATCTGATAAGGAGTTTATAAAGAACTCATACAACTCAACATCAAACACACCAAACAATTCAATTTAAAAATGGGCAAATGACCTGACTAGACATTTTTCTATAGAGCACATACAAATGTCCAGCAGACACATGAGAAGATACTAATTATCAGGGATATACAAATCAAAACTACAAGAGGTATCACCTCACCCCTATCAGAATGGCTATTATCAAAAAGACAACCAAGAACAAGTGGTGGTGAGACTGGAGAGGAGGGATTATAAACTAGTGCAGCCAGACAGTATGGAAAAACAGAATGGATGTTCCACAAAAAATTTTTAAAAGAGCTGTCCTATGACCCAGCAATTTCATTTTTGGGTATTCATCCAAAGAAAACAAAAACATTAATTTGAACAGATATATCCACCCTATGTTCATTGCAGCATTATTTATATACTGAAGATATACACTAAATGGCCAGATTATTATGACCACCCCATCAGTACTTCATTGACACTTCCAAAAATACTGAATATTGAAAACTTCCTAAGCAAATACTCTCCAGGTTTTATTATTATTATTATTTGCATAACTAATTCACTCCATTTTCTGGATGGGGTGGCCAAAATAATCGGCCACTCAGTGTAGAAGCAACCTAGGTATCCATCAAAAGATAAATAAAGAAGTTGTGGTATATCTATACCATGAATTATTACTTAACCATAAAAAAAAAGAATGCACTCTTGCCATTTGCAACAACCTGGATGGACTAAGATGCTAAGTGAAATGAGTTGGGCAGAAAAAGACAAATACCATATGATTTCAATTACATGTGGAATCTATAAAACTAAACAAAATGAAAGTATTATGCTAAGTGAAATGAGTTGGGCAAAAAAAGACAAATACCATATGATTTTAATTACATGTGGAATCTATAAAACTAAACAAAATGAAACAAACACACTCATAGATAAAAAAAACAGATGGTTGCCAGAGGGGAGGGAAATGGGTGGGAAAGAGGATTAAGAAGTACAAACTTCCAGTTACAAAAGAAGTTAGTACAGGACATCTAGTCAGTAATATTGTAATAACTTTCTACGGTGACAGGTGGTTACTACTTTATAAGGTATTTAAATTTTGTATCACTATGTTGTACTAATATAATATTGTATGTCAACTATAATAAAAAAAGAATTAAGATTGGCTAAAGATAGTTAGACATTTGATAGAAATAGAAATATGCTGCTTACCATTTGAAAATACACTAAAATTTCTCAAACTCATTACTAATAAGAGAAATTCAAATTAAAACCACATGAAATTTGGTAGACTTACCACAACAGCCGCCCTCAATGAATCATGCCTCCAGGTGATAATGCTCTTGTGAGATTCCCTCCATTTTGACATTGGGCCAGGTCATCTAAAAATGTGAGGCACTTTTGTATGTCAACTGTAATAAAAAAGAAAATTCCTGAAACTGCTGCCACGCTGTGAGAATGCACAGTATGACCCTCTTGAGGATTAAAGACCACACAGTGATACATGATCAGCTTTTGAGGCTGTCCCAGTGAATGCAGCCAAATGAATAAACGCAGAAAAAACCAACAGGACTGCCTTGCCAACACACAAATGGTGAGAAATGATAAATCTTGTGGGTTTTGTTTTTTTTGGTGGGGTGGGGGGTTGTCATATACCAATAGATAATCATTACACTAAGATACTGTTCTCACTTATGGAATTTGTAGAGATTAAATATTTCACAATTCCCATTGGCAGTAAGCTATGAGGAAATATACACTGTCATACACTGCTGGTGGGAGCATAAATTGATATGTACTCTGTAGAAGGCAATTTGGCAATATCTACTAACATTTCAAAAACTTATTCTTTTCTACCCAACAGTCACATTTCTAGAGAATTATTCTACAGATACATTTACACGGGTGCAAAGTTATTTTACGTACAAGTTTTTGTTTTGTTTTTTTATGCAGAACTTTATGTAGCAGCAAAAGGTGAAAATAATCCAAATGTTTATTAACAGAAGTCTGGTAAATTTAAACTAAAACATGTTTAAAAAAAGTGAAGAATCTTCTCATGTAGTTATAACTTAGATATATCATTAAGTAATAAAACACAGTGTAAAGGATGCCAATGGTATGGCACCATGTTGCATGTGAAATGAAGAAAAAGAGATAGCTATACTTGTATGATTGAATAGGCTCAATTTGCAAAAGGCACTGACATGTAATTCTTCTCTATTGTAAGCTTTCCATTTAGTTTGCTTCCGATGATTAAATCTAAGTCATTTGAAAAAAAAAAAACTCTGGGAAATAAACAAGTATATCTTCTTTAGAATTGAATGGGTAGGGCATTTAGAACTAGGGCTAATAGAGAGGATAGTAGCAAGTGTAGATAGGGTGTCCTCCCAAAAATGTATATACACTGTAACAGCTGATAGCTTAATTTTGATAAACACTACCTTCATAATTATTCAAAGTGTGTGTGTACATTTTTTGGGGGGACACCCTCTATATATTTTTAATATAATCATTTTACTTAAAATCCAAGATCAATTACTTTGATCAGTTTTTAGGTCTCAGAAAAACTTTGTAATTAAATTATTCTTTTTATCTTTATTTTAAGAGTACTGTATTATATTCTGGCCATTACATAAATATAAATATGTACTTTGCAAATTAATAATTCTCTCAAAAACTTAATCTTTGTATGACACATTTATCTAATGAAGCCTATATAGTTGAAAATTAGGTTATTACCAATATAATGCTATTATAAACAATACTGAGGTAAACATCTCTGTAGTGAAGAAAAACAAATTTTTCCCCTCCCTTTCTAGTCCAGGAGATCTGGCTTTGGCAAGAATTCTTACCCTTCCTTGGCTTCTTCCAGTTTTCCAAGATCCCAGCTACAGGCCTGGAGTAAGTACAGTGTCTCATTCGTTGCCAAACTGTAGGGAAGGAAAAATAATTTTCCCTTTATCCTTATGGGTTCCTGCCTGAGACCCACTTCACCCCACTACCCCCTTAATGAAACACAGGTTAGCAGGAGAAAAACAAATATGTGTACCTCCCAAACACATGAAACATACCCATGAACACTACTTTATCTCCCTGAAATGGTCTAAGCCACTACCTTAAATATTATCTTTAGCTATAAAGGCAAAAGATGTTGGGCATGAGGGCAGCCAGTTATCAGGCCAAGCACAGTAAATGAGTTATCATGATTTAAGTCAGTACCTTTTCATTGAAAAGAATTTCTAGATACTTGGTCATTCTCTTCCTGGTAGAGTAAGGAGACACCCTTACACACATATATTCCCCTCATAAGCGTAAAAGTCTCTTACAAAAAGGTAACTTCTACTTGGTTTTCAGAGCTTTTTCCATGTCTTCTATTTCTTAAAAATAATCTGTTGAAAATAATCCTTATGCCAAAGAAGCATATTCTGCTCAATTTCATGCAGAAATTTTCAATTGTATATTTGATTACCTCCCTAAAACAAATTTCTAAATGTGGACTTACTGTGACAAAAGACATGCACATTATCTGTACAGATAAATATTTTTTTTTCATATGAATGAGTTTAAATGTTCTTTGTTTAAATATTTTTATTTACCTATTTAAAATGTTTTTATGTTATGCTAATTTTTAACCTCTTAAAGTAATAAATATAATCTATTTTCAAACTTGAGGCTTAATATTTACTACATTTTGTGTTGTGAAAAGTTAATCTAGCAAATCGGTTCATTTTAAGAGGAATCATTTTGAGCCCAATCCACATTTGTCAGAACAAACATGTGATCTCCCCCTCAAAAAGAGGAAAAATTAAAATAGTTTACATCTTTCTAAAGACATCAGAGAGCTTTAACAAAACAAATTTGGAATAACCACTGTTAAAGTTGTGGTTCATATATTTCTGAATATTACATTTTAATCGGCATTTGTAATCTGCTTTTGTCAGCCAATTAGCTCTACCCTTCCATTTCAGAAAATTTTAATCTCATTTAATAATAAAAAACTTATTCAAGAATCTCCCATTATCCAGAACATGTTTGTCAAAGGCAGGCCCACATATCATATCTGGTTTTTATGCACCGTAATTCAATGTAATAAAAAATGATTAACTATGTTAGGTTAAGGCAAATCTTCTATTTTCCCATCTTTTAATCATTGTTCATTGGGTCTTTATTTTGACATGTTACATAATAACTAATCCAGACTTTGATATTTAGAAGTGAGATGTGGCTGCTTTGGGTTAGTAGCTGGTTTGTAGTGAGCAGAGCAACATTGCAGACGGGAAAACTGTAACCTTGTGATTTCAGGACAAGCCTTTTGATTAAATCATCATTGGTTATGTTTTGGAACTGAGACAAACTTTGTAATTCAAGTGGGTGTAAGTGGACTGCGGAAGATAGTTTTCCATACATAGTAATAGAACCCCTAAATTTTGATGGGATGTGGATTTAACATGCTAAAGACATTCCCCAACCTGCTTTGCAGATAGGTGTGGCCATGTAAGTTCTGATCAAAGGTATGTGGACAGAGAGAATAAATTCAACTTTCAGTGCATGCCCTCCAGGAAAACGGGCATCTCTTCCCTTGTCTTGTTCTCTTTCCTGCAGAATGTGCTTGTGACAGTGAGATCTGAACCGACCAGACCTGGACTCCTTATGACTGGAATGTTAAAGAAGAGAGGAGTCAATCTCTATCTTTTAAACCATTTTTATCTGAGCCTTTGTGTTGGCTACTTATCTAGTATCCTAAGAAATAATAATAAAAATGGATTTGCATACACTTATGAATTTGAGCTTCTAGAAACACATACATCACCTCATTCACCTTCTTGTCTTCAATCAGGTAAATAGTTGTAAATGGACTTCAAGTTCTCCAGGCTTTCCAGACCCAACACTGGCAGAGGTCTTCATCCTCTTAGCCTCTTTGATCCTAGGAACACAAAAACATATGGAATCACTTATTTTAGGTTACTGGACATGGCTACCAAGGATAGACATCAGATTTATCATAATAAACTATATGTTTCATAATAAAATATTTAATTATCATTTCTAAGCTCTTTCTTTATAATGCCTTTGTAAATCCTTACAACATTCTATAAAGTACATACTATTATTATTCCTATTTTACAGGTGAGGAGTTTAAAGCAGAAAGTAAGTAACAGCTGGGATTAGAATGTTAATATTCTGGGCTTCTAAACACCACTCTCTATTCTTCTGCTATATCAAGTATATCCCAAGGACGGGCAGAAGAAGCCTTATTTTTCAGGAAATAAAATGATTACTGCATCCAGACTAAATATTAGATCCTAAGGTTGATTATTAAGAAACAGCTCAAAACCCATGCTCGGAGGTCCAGGAATATAAATATTTGAATTTTTAAAAAATATATATTTACAAGTGAATTACACGTTTTCTTTTGTTTTTGTTAGGCTGGCTTCTCTTGTGAAGAGGTGGTGAAGAGAATCTGAAGATTAAGTCCTACTATTCCTCAAAAGGTAAATTATCCCTGTAATATGCTTCTCTCTTAAAGTTCAGATCTGAGCCTTCTATGGAATGACTCCCAACCCCTGGCATTGCTGACCATTCCCAGTACAGAGCCCCATCTTAACCTCGTCAGGGAAGTAACACTGAGTGGGCTGGTGGGGATTAAGGCCAGTGATGATAGAGTTTGGAATCAATGAAAATGTCAAGGAAAGGAGAAAAAGAATTGTGAGAGAAAGCAAGCAAAGTGCATGGAATTTGATTGAGACAGGTAGAACCCACATGATTACTTGTTCAAAAAGTATGTAAAGAGTAGCCGAAAAAAACAACCTCAAGCGATGCTAAGGATAGGAGTATACATTTAAAGCAAATGTCTTTCAATGTATAAGCTCGCTGAAATATCAAATGTACATTAAGTACCTCAGAATCACTCGGATGATATCCTATTGTTAATTCATTTGTCAGACAGCAAGTCAGCAGCCCCCAGAAGGAAGTGTGTAGCAGACAGGGAGACTTGGCAGGCAGGCAGGGAGACTGGCCAAGCCGATACTAAACCACTCAAGGAAATGTAAAGTTTAAGAATGTCCTGAGTAAGTCCCGGAACTCAGCACCTGGCAGATTTAGGCCCAAGGACAAAAGTATGTACTCACTTATGTATGCATGAATATGACTCTTGGAAACTGACCTAACTTAACACAGGTTTACATGCTTGACAATTTTGTTCTTTCTCACATAAACCTTTCATAGAAATAATAGGGCATGCCTTCTCTGGTTTGAAATATATATCACAAATAATTCTACAAATATATATACACTAGAGGCCTGGTGCATGGGTGGAGTCCCTCAGGGTGGCCCACAGAGATGGAGCCCCCAGCCTCCCAGCCCCGCCTGGCACCCCACCTTGGCTTGGCGCCGCCCCCTCACCTGCTCCACTCTCCTGCCGCGGCCCCACTCTCATCAGGGCCCATTGGGGCCAGCAGCTCCTCCATTGCCACCCGCTGCCAGCGTCTCGTCGCCGATGCCTGCCATGTTCCACGCCACCCCCTGGTGGTCAGCGCACGTCACAGTGAGTGGTTTAACGACTGCCGGAGGGGACAATTTGCATATTAGGCTTTTATTGTATAGGATTTTCCTTCTTATTCAACATTTTAGTTATAAAGATCCTTACCTAACCCAAATGCCCCTGAAAAAAATGTGATTTCCTCAGTTGCTAAGGAAAGTGAATAAGGATTTGGAAATTTCAGGGCATGAGATTTAGACAGTTCAGGGTTAATCTTAGTTATAGGACTCCAGGGGGCTGGCTTCCTCTTTCCTTGCTCTTAGAGAAGCCCGGATATATCTGCTTTAGTGCTGACATCAACATTATTTTAGTTATAAAGATCTTTACCTAACCCAAATGCCACTGAAAAAGTGATGTGATTTCCTCAGTTGCTAAGGAAAGTGAATAAGGATTTGGAAATTTCAGGGCATAAGATTTAGACAGTTCAGGGTCAATCTTCGTTATATGACTCCAGGGTGCTGGCTTCCTCTTTCCTTGCTCTTAGAGAAGCCCGGATATATCTGCTTTAGTGCTGACATGTGAAATGGCAGTTTGACAATTGCCTGTTTCATAGTCATAGAACTAAGACTGACTTGAAAACTGCATATTTAGCATATTTATGCAATGTGTTTGACTTTAGAAAGAAGCATCCAGTCCAGCCGTGGGCAAACAACGGCCCGCGGGCCAGATCCCGCCCGTTTGAAATGAATAAAACTAAAAAAAAAAAAACCGTACCCTTTTATGTAATGATGTTTACTTTGAATTTATATTGAAATGGCAGTTTGACAATTGCCTGTTTCATAGTCATAGAACTAAGACTGACCCTGAAAACTGCATCTTAGCATGTTTATGCAATGTGTTTGACTTTAGAAAGAAGCATCTAGTCCATGCTTGAAGTTATTGCATGTAAGGCCATTTTATGCAAAAAGCAGCACCACTGAGTTAACTATTCTTAGACATGGAGAGATGGCCTACTAAACTCCTTTATTTTACAAATGAGGCCCTGAGAGTCTGAAACTGCATTGCCCTGAGCCTCCTGTGGCTAATGAGCCCTTGAACTGTGGCTAGTTTTAATGGAAATGTGTTGTAACTGCAAAATACATACTGGATTTTGCACATTTAGTGTGAAAAAATGTAAAATATCTCATAAATAATTTTGTAATTGGTTACATGTCCACATAAGTAAAAGTAAAGTGTATTTTTAAATGAACCACCTATTTCTTTTCAATATATTTTGATTGGACAGCACTGATCAGGAAGGTTAAATGACTTCCTTGCTCAAGTACTCACAGCTAGAGTGGCAAGGTAGGAATCCAACTGTTTCTTGTGATTTTCCCCCACTAATGTTGCAGCTGTGCCTTTGCTGGCTTGATCACTCCTTAATTGTTTTCTCTTTTAGTACTCTACATAACATCTCTCTGTCCCTTTAAAAAATATTTGCACCTCTCCATTATATAAAGTTGCTTAGCTGTAAATATAATTAAGAAACCATAGTCCAGGAAAAATCACTTGGCGAGGCGAGGAGAAATGATGCCAATTCATTCTCTTTTCAAATCCGATGACATAAGCATTAAAGCACATGTGGCCCTGGAATATATGTAGACTGGTTTGAAACTGTCCCCCGGAACATTCGGTGCTGCACCATTTCACTCCTTACCTTGAGGACTGCTTGAGTATAGCTGAGCCATAGCAGCTGGCCAGGTTTATGTCCATTAATATTAAAATCAACCACCTTCCTTTCCTGCTCTATTCCTCTGCCTTAGCATTTGGGAACCCTTAAAGATAATTCCCCTCCTCTTTTTTGTATTAAAGCCAGCTTATCTTACAGAGATAACAATTCTGAAAATGTGATATTCATCTTCGGGTAAAGATTTAACCTGATATGCTTACATTGTTAAAAAGACAAGAAATCCTCTGAACATAATGCTACAAACATCTCCAGATGGGATGTCTCACTTACCTTATAGTCAGTCAGTTATATCCTGAGGCCACAGCAAAAGTTAGGCCAGTTTCCTGAATCCAGTCAGCCAGGTGTTGTGCTCACTCTCTATTTTGAAAATTAACCCTAAGAGGGGGAGAAAATCACAATCAGTCTAACCCTTTTCAGTCCAACGTCAAGGCTGACTCGACAGACCAGTTTCAAAAGATACCACACTATGAAATGTTTTAAAGAATAAACTCTTTGATTGAACATACTTAATAATGTAACCAGTGAATTTTTGGTTTAAACTTTAAAATAAGAACATTATTAAAAAGTACATTCAATTCCTTCAATTAATTTGGACCAGACTGTTTGAATTCCAAAAAATAAAATTGGACCACAAAGGGTTAAGTATTCTTATTATAATAAATAAAAGAGAGAGAAGCTTATCAGATATTGAAGGGAAGCAAAGCTCTTCTTAAAACTGAGTTGGAGTTTCTGCTTCTTTATAAAGAAGGAGTAATTTCACAGCTCTTGAAATGAAAAGTAAAATAATCAGGTTTTTCTTTAAATATTACTTAAAATTATGACACAGTAGCACTAGACACATGTTAATTATTTTAAATGTGTCTAACTCAATTCAAACCGTCTCTTTTTTTAACTCCTCTCACCTGTCCATTATTGGTGCCAAGAACAAAATGGAAATCCCAGAGAAAGAAAACTAATTCATAGAAATGTATCATAACATATATTATAAAATACTAATTTATATCATTCGAAGGCATTTCTTCTTCAGGAAATGTTTTGGCAATAGGTTTCTGAAGTGTTAATTGAGTAATGTTCATTGAGAATCTATTAGGTTCCAGATACTCTACATGCTCTTCTCATGTACTGTTTCCAACAACTCTGTGGAACAGACTATTTTTGTCTCATTTCTTTGCATATGAAGACACTGAAACTCAGAAGAGCAAAGGATCTTCCAAGGTTATGAGTCTTCTTGACACTAGGACTGATATTTTAAAATTTGTTTTCTGACTTAAAGGTCTATACTGAAAATGTTTTTCCACTTCCATGTATACATAGCCATATATTACATATACAATACATTTACCACCTGAAGTATATGTAATTTGTTGTTAGCCTCACTTTATCTCTAATAAATGTGAAGCAACTCATGCTATTCATAGTATCTGTTTGTTTCCAACATCTTTCTTGTTTGGGATTATTTCTAACATCAATAGAAGTTGAAAATGGGGAGAGAAAAGAAATATTTCTCATTATGTTTATTCCATTTGGTTTTCACTTTGTTTAACAA